GGTCACTTTTTATAGCTGACTCTTTCCCTGACCTTTGGGGGAGAGGGGAGGAGGAAAGAAAGGGCACTGAAAAGATAGGATTTGAGGCAGAAATGGAGGGGGGTTGGGCAAGGCAGGGATAGGGTTCCAAAGAGCGGGGCAGAATAGCTGAAAAGTTGCCCACTGCCGGTGAGCAGATTGGGCAGGGTCATGAAGCAAGCCAGTGTTTGCTGAACCGAGGGAGCTGACAGGCAATAGGGTTGTAGAAAGTCACACGGGTAGGGTGGAGCAACTCCATAGAAGGATAGATTACAAAGATGTTATTTTTGATAATAAGTCACATTTCGTTGTGCAACATGATTCATTTCAGTCCAATGCAATGCAGTAATGTAGTTGTTACGAACCTGAATCTTTGACATAATTCTATGTTTCAAGTAATTAATTGATTTTTGTGTTTAATATGCTCCACAACTGCTGTCAAAAGTTAAGTGCTTCCAGATATATAAATAAAGTTGAAAATCAGTCTAGACTTGTGCAGACATCTGTCACCTGTGTCAGTCTAGTTATCAAATTCAACAGGATTGTTTGCTAATATCTTTTTCTAGCAGGTTGATCAGTATCATTTGTATAGAATATTTGTATTACATTTCATCTTCACTGGCGTTGCTTAGTAAAACAAACAACCACTTGACAGTCCTGTAGAAAAGGTATACATGTTCAGATAATATATAAATCAAAGAAAATTAATTCTGGAAGTTGACCAAACGCATTGAAGGGCATCCTTTAAACCAGATGTTGCTGTATGGTGAAATCTTCCATGATCATCTATGTGAGCAACTTCTTTCCACAGTTTCACACAGAGCCCCTTCAAATCTGATTGATTTAGAATTATTTTAAGAAGACTTTTGAAATGTTGTACAAGGAATTTGTCTTGGGGTGGACTGAGATTCATGGAGTCTGAACATTTTGAGAAGCATGGACTTTTATTCAGGCAAAACTAATTAAGAGTTGGAAATACTTCAGAGAAGAATAATCAGAATGAGTTGGGGAGGAGGGGTTTAAGGTACGATCCAGTTTAAGACATGTTCTATGAACTAAAGTATACAATCCTTAATTTTCTTGAAGAAATTCCTCGGTCTTCAGAATTTCATAATTTCTATTCATTTACCCAATTTTTTGGATACAATCCATCAAAGTGGAAATGTAAGCAGATGCAGAGATTGCACTCCATACACAACAGAAAACTAGCTGATTTACTTTGCAAATTAGAGGAGGAGCTAACAATAAAAAAACTAGTGAAAAAATCCATACAATGTTTTGACCTTTTTAAAAAATTCTTCAAAGGAATGCTCCTGAAAACTTGTACATTCTGAAGCTATGCCCTGTGAGTGAATCGTGGTCAATCAATTGTGTAACTATCTTGCTCTCACCATTTGTTCTGATTTAATATCAGGTTTTCTGAGTTTTCTTGCACTGGAAGTTGGTGGCCAAAGGGGAAATAGATTTATGTTTGTTAGACTTTTTAGTATTCAAGGGTATATTGGCTGAAGGCATGTAGCTAGGACTGCTATTGGTGCTTTTTAGGCATTGATTGTATTTAATTGCCTTAAGTCTATCAAACTTCTTATTAAGCAAGAAGCTGTATGTAGAAGGTAACTTGTACATTTTGTAAAAATTCAGATTTTAGTTGTAATAAGGTAATATATTCTCTTTAATTGGAAACAGAATTTTGAGTACCAGAACTTATTCTCTTTTATATTCCTTTGACATTTATCTAAATTCTAGTGTGTGACTGCTCTACTGATGAACAGTGCTTAGTATATGGCTGGTTAGATTTGTATACGGTTTGAGGGCAGTGAATGAAGTAGTAGTTGAGGGAAAATGTTCCTGAATCCAGTGGGTCCAAAGTCCCAACAACAAACTGGATCAAGTGCAAGGATTTGTATCTATCCTGTCACTTTATGGGGACAGAAAATGTTGTACAGCTAGTCCTTTATAAGCCAATACATATTAAATGTATTTGTACCAGATTGTGATATTATAGCATATATTTTCTGTAGAATGAACTGGATTGTGATATTTCAGTAACTATTTTATTTTCTGAGGAATAAAGCAAAACTTCTTGGTCTGTAATGATGAGATGAAAATATGGGGTTCTTCACAGCAACTGGTAACTTTGAGTCTGAATAGTGTAACTAGATAATTGTCCTTGACCTGTCAATGTGCTAACATTTCATTTCTACCTAAATGTTAGTGCTGTCATTAACTATGGTTTCATCCTCACATGACGTGACTTAGGTGTCTCATCTGAAGAAATGTTTTTGAGGTTTGATGTTGGGATCATTAAGTAGTAACTTAAGTGTAAAGTAATACTTGAGATTAGGCACACAGAGCAGAGTAAGCCATCTTTATGGGCAATTAGTGACAGTAAACTATCTGTAGCTGACCTGTGATACAGGTGCTGATCTAATAGATGATACATTTGTAATGCAATATTGCAATACATTTTGTGTCAAATTTGGCTTAAAACGTGGATCAGATGCACATGTAAGCTTCTCACCATTTTCCCATTGAAATCATATTGACTTCACAAGGGTTATTTTCAATTATTTGTTCAATACAATACAAATTTACATTTAAATAGCATCTTTCACATTGGGAGGATTTCTCAAGGCTCTTCCCCACCCTGGTTAAGGTTTGCACCTGAACTAAGGTGGGGAGGACAAGGCCGAAAGTGTGGTCAAAGAGGAAGGTCTTGAGTTGGACCTTGCAGGAGGTGAGGGAAGGTGCATGTCGAAGGTGGTTTGGGATAAACTGCCTGCAAGTAGGCGCCGACTTACCATTATTGTGGATGGTAAAGCAGGGATGTGAAGCAGGCTCGTGTTTGCTGAGCAGAGGCAGCGACCAGGTTGGTATGGTTTGAGGAGGTAGGGATGGTAAGACCGTGGAGCGATTGAAAGGTTAGGATGAGGTCCTAACTCGCTGGAGGATGGGGAGCCAAATGGAGCTGAGGAGGGATAGGGGTAGTATGCTCACAGAACCTAGTGCGAAAAAGGATACAAGCTCCAGAATTCTAGATAGTTTGCGGTTTGTGAAGGGAAGAGGCAAGTAGTCCAGCAAGCAGAGAGTTGACGTAATGTAGCCTGAATGTGATGAATGTGTGCATTAGAGTCTCGGCAACCTGAGGGAGAGGTTGTGGCAGAGGCAGGCAATGCTACAGAGATAGAGGAAAACTGTGAGAAAACTGGCAAGAAATGTGAGATTTAAAGACCATTGAGAGTTGAATAATACACCAAGGTTCCTTACTGTCTTGGTGAGGTGGAGTGTGCATTCAGTTTGATGCTGCCAGTGCATGTGGTGAGAAGCCACTTATGAGCCAAGCAGGAGATTCCCCATCCTGTTGATGTTCAATTGAAGAACTTTAGAGCTCATCCAGAGCTTGTTGTCAGACATTTGGTCAGAACAGCAGTGGTCGTGGTCCTGAAATCAAGGGTGGAGACTGAGAGATCGATTTGGGTGTCATCCGTATACATGTTGAAGTAGTCTGGAGATGATATTGCCGAGTGAGAGCATGTAGATATGAAAAAGTAGAGGACCAAGGATACAGCCCCAAGTAAGTAACCCTGCCTGTGACAATGTAGGAACAGGAGGAGAAGCTCTTCAGAGACCAAGTGGAGACTTCAGAATAGGTAAGAGTGAAACCAGGAGAGGACAGAAGCATGAAGGTGGAGCTGAGAGAAGTGTCAGTGGAGAAGGATAGCGTGAAGGATTATATTGCAGTGTCTACCACAAATTTTGGAAAATTAGTCATTTGAACTGTAATAATGGCACATCCTAAGTATGCATCTTGTAAATTAATGAGCTAATCTGCACATTGTATACCAGCAATGCTATAACTGTTGAAGTAAACTCCTTCATTAACCTGAAAAAAGCAATTTGTTGGCCAAAATTCACTCTTCCCCCCATTAATTAGTTATGGCACATGTATAAAGAACAGGTGTAATGTTTTGGCTGCTTCATTGATTTTGTGAAAATGAGAGACAGACAGATGAGAACCTTGATCATTTTCATTGTGTCCAATATCGTAGAGTGAAAAATATTGAGTTGACGATGAGCTGTATCTCCCAATATCCGTAACTGTTGTAAATCCATATCCAACATTTGTTTTGGGCCAGATGTAGTTTACCGTATAATATAGTTGAAGGAGGTGGCTAGTTGTAATCTCTATTTTCGAACAATTACTTTACGAAAGCTTTAGAACTTTTGTCTTTAATTCAGTTCTTAGGAGCGTAGGTCCACAGTTCAAAATTGCCACAAATTTGACAATATTGATAGTCTCACCCCAAGGATCAATAAGGGTAGCTGAGGTGGGAAAAGTGAGCCATTTGCATTGTGTAGACAAAATGATTCTTTGATGTTGAGATTAATGTATATTGTTCGGGCTGTACTTAAAATTTGGGTTCCTTGGAGTTCTTCATTGATTCCTGAAGAATGTTGTGTTCATTAAGCTCGAACATAATCGCTCTGTGTAAGGACATTGTGTTCTCAGTAACCTTACTAGAATGTACACACAGACCTCCACCAACTTTTACATCTTTCAAGGTGTGGACTTTTTAAACCTTTATAAAATTGGTTAAAGAGAATTAATTCCTTTGAGAGAGATGCTATTAAATGGTTGGCTAAACAGTGTGGAGGGTGCTATATAAATGCAAGTTGTTGTAATATGAGCAGTTATCATTGCACTACTTTGGTGTAGGAGTGGTCCTTCCAGTCTCCTCTTTTGGGAGATTTAAATGTTTTTACAGAAGATTACTTTTAACAACTTAGCCACAGACTTAGCCATGATGACACTTCCTCATTCATGTTGGGAGTTGAAACTGAAATTGGAAGTAAAAGCCTTTTTAAAGGTAATTAAATGGTATTTAATTACCTTTACACCATGATGTACTTAGTTGAATGTAAATTTATGGATTTTGGGGAGCAGGTGTGACAATATTCCTCATCTGTCTTTTCTGTTCTAGATATCTCAATGCCATTCAGACCATGTGTCCACATATCCTTCGATACCTGACCACAGCAGTAATCACCAATAAGGATGTTCGGAAACGTAGACAAGTCCTGAAGGATTTAGTGAAGGTCATCCAGCAGGTGAGAATCAATTTCTACTTCACTTCCACCAATGTAAAATCATCATAAATTCTGTTTATATATCTTGAAGTACGTTCTATGGTTTGAAAAAAAGGCATTGATGGATTCGGTAAAGATTAACCTAACTCATTTTTGCCAATGATTTTATCTTGCTGTTGGGAGGTGTGAGCATCGTAGGGAGATCCTTTTGTCCCTCTTTCTCCCTCCCCACATTGTGTAGTGGAAATACATTTATTTATTAATCAATGGATACTTCTGCAACACTGTGGCTGTATCTAGCAATTTAGCAATTCACTTTGAAAATGAAGAATTCCATCATTCATTACCATTCTCCAATGCATTCATGAGATGGAAACGCTGATTTTAACACTTTATGCAGGTGGTGTGGAAGTAGCCAGATATTTGAAGTAACCTTACCAAGATGCCAAAGGAGATTGTATTTGTTTGTTGAACTTTGGTATTTGGTAAAGTCGCTGAATATTCCAGCTCTGAAATGCGCGCAGCTGTTTCTAACCATGTGTACAATATCATACCCAGTTTTGGAACTAAACATTACTCCTTGAAGAAAAGTAGACCTGACTTGGAAACACTTCACACACCCACTAAGCATTCCAGCTTTGTCCAACTATTTTGTTTCGTTGTTTAGAAAATTGCATAAGTTGCACTGACACACAGATTTTTATGATTGTGAACTTGGAGCTGTCTTTTAAGCAACAATGTGGGTGATTTTTTTTATTGTATCTCTATTTTCAGACTTATAAGATAAGCATGCTTTACAGCAGTAATAAAATACTGGGCAGTGAAGCTCTGACTGTTTGCCCATGTTTTGATTTTGATGTAGCTGGGTGGCCTTAAAGTACCATGTGCTTTATGTTTAGTTTGCTGGAGGATTTGCTTTAAATGACACATAACACATAATATGCATTGTATTTTTGCAAATTACTTATCAATTGCAATTTTGTCAGTATTGTTTGAATATTTATTAAAAAATGTTTTGGATCACTTTTAGCATTTGTTGGTGGGTAGGCACTGGTTGAATATCTTTGTGAATATCTGGCTGCCATCTGAATCTCTCTAGCTCTTGTAATCTCTCATGATTAATCTTTCTGATCATGCTCAGTTATCCAGTTCTTTAAACTACTATGCCAATTTAGGATCCAATTGTGAGTTGGAAATTGTCACATATTGCTAGTTGCCATACAAAAATCTTTATGTCTGGGAATCAAGGTGCCAGGTTTGTGGACATTCAGAAACACTATAATCATCCAAGTGAACTTACTTCTAAGTATCTTGGTTATAAAATAAATTCCCGTTTCCAGAAACTCCATTGTATGAAAGTCAAGCAATATTTTATTCCACTGAAGCATTTCCAGTAAACCTTATTGTTTTTACGATACATGCGATACTTTACTGAGTTCCATGTTTTAATCAGATTCAAATTGGTTTATCGTGTAACGAGAGCTAGTGATAGCATGCTATTATTGTATACACTATATACTTCCTCACCAGCTACTTGAATTTTTCTGCATAACACAACTTGATTAGTTGTTATACTCATTCTGTAACCTATCAACTCCCAGTTGAGTGCCTGTCTCGTGACCCATTCCTTAAAAGGCAGATCACTGTGGAAAAATTCATCAGGTGAAATCAGCAGCATCTTCACACAGAGCAAATCACAACCTACACGAACACATACATCTAAAATCGATATTATTCTCTGCTCCGCCCCCTCTAACTATTTTTAAATCCCACCTGAAAGCCTACCTTTTTGACTGCGCCTATGGTAACCTCCTATTCCCCTTCTCACTTGCTTCACATCTCACCCTCCCACTCTGAGACTTTATCCTACATGAATAGTGCTATATAAATGTTAAATTGGCTGTTTTAAGATAAAAGAATATGTTTTGTAATTGCTTTATCAAAGTGGAAACTTATTACTGCACTCTGATGGAAAGATAATACTCATATAGGGATGTGGAGTTCAGTGGAAACAGAATTTGTGTTGCACACAAAAACATGTTTTAGATGTATGTGTGTGTGTAGGTTGTGATTTGCTCTGTGTGAAGATGCTGCTGATTTCACCTGATGAATTTTTCCACAGTGATCTGCCTTTTGAGGAATGGGTCACGAGACAGGCACTCAACTGGGAGTTGATAGGTTACAGAATGAGTATAATAACTAATCAAGTTGTGATATACAGAAAAAATCAAGTAGCTGGTGAAGAAGTATATAGTGTATACAATTTCCAGTTTCTGGAAAGGACAGTTTGGGGAAAGGTGTACATGTGGACACGTCATGTAATATGATTAAAATGCAACAGATGTAAGTTGAAGACTTTCAGATGAGAAATTTACAGTTGCATTCCATGTACAGTATATCTGAATAGTTTGGAGCAATGAACAAAGTGGAGCTTTTGGAATTCTACTTTCTTTCACCGAGATATCCTGCTGAGAAATAAGCTTCAAACCAGATTACTGTTCTCAAATAGATGGCAGGCATTAAAAAAGAGTAAGGGTGTATTCTGTTTTTCGATTTGGTGAAGATACTTGAAATATTTGTTGGATTTCAGTTCCAAGTCTGAAGATCTAAAGAGAATCATAGATTTTATGAGATTGGGGACGTTTTTTGATACTAGGACGTGTCAAAAAATTCACAGAAAGTTTGGATCCTCACTCTCGTGTTCAAATCCATTTACTCCTTGGCACCTCCCTACCTTTCCGACCTCCTAACTCCCCAATCCACCACCCGGCGCCTCTGCTCAACTGGCACCGGCCTCCTGCTCGTCCCTTGTTCCCTCCACCCCATCATTGGAGGTCGTGCTTTCAGCCACTACGCCCGAAAACTCTGGAACACTCTCTCTGCCTTGCCCCCTCTCCCCTCTTTCAAGTCCCGCCTGAAAACTTTACTGTTCGATGTATTTATGGCCCCTCCCCACCCAGGCTCGGAGTCAGACTCCACCACTGTTAAGCGATCTGATATGCTACTCTGTGTGGGGGACACTATATAAATGCAAGTTGTTGTTGTTGGATCAGTGGATACAACATTTAAAATTGCAGTTGCCTGGTATCTAGTTTCTGTTACTACAACATTTATGTAACTTCCTGGCAGCATTTGGGGCAGAAATCCAATATTAAAGGTTTTGAAGGACCGAGCAGACTTCATAGAACCATAGAATTATACAGCACAGAAGGATGCCATTCGCCCCATCTTGTCTATGCCGGCTCTTTGAAAAGAGCTATCCATATCAATCCCACTTGCCCACTCTCTCCCCATAGCTCTGCAAACGTATCCTCCCCAAATAATTATCTACTCTCTTAAAAGTTGTTATCGAATCGGCTTCCATCATCCTTTCAGGCAATGCATTCCAGATCCGAACAACTCACTGTGTGAAAAAAAATTCTCCTCACCTCTCCTCTGTTTCTTTTAACAACTATTTTAAATCTGTGTCCTCGAGTTACCGACCCACCCACCAGTGGAAATAGTTTCCCCTTGTTCACCCTATTGAATCCCCTCATAATTTTGAAAATTTCTATTAAGTCTCATCTTAACCTTCTCTGCTCCAAGGAGAATAATCCTAGCTTCTCTAACCTCTCCTCATAACTGAAGTCCCTCATTCCTGGTACCATCCTGGTAAATCTGCTTTGCACCCTCTCTAATGCCTTAACATCCTTCCTAAAGTGTGGGGCCCAGAACTGACTACAATACTCTGGTTAGCTGAGGCCTAACCAGTGTTTTATAAAGGTTCATCATAATTTCCTGACATTTGTATTCTATGCCCCTATTTATAAATCCTTGTATCCCGTATGCTTTTTTAACAGCTTTATCTACCTGTGCTGCCACCTTCAAAGATTTATGTATATGAACCCTCAGGTCTCTCTGTTCCTTCACCCCCTTTAAGATTGTACCATCAGCTTTTATTGCCTCTCCTCATTCTTCCTCCCAAAAGCCATCACTTTGCATTTCTCCACATTAAACTTCATCTGCCACGTGTCTGCCCATTTTACCAGTCTGTCTGTGTCCTCTTGCAGTCTATTACTATCCTTCTCACTGTTTACTACTTTTCCTAGCTTAGTATCACCTGCAAACTTGGAAATTGTACTCTCTACACAAGTCCTGGTCATTTATATAGATCAAAAACAACAGTGGTCCCAATACTGATCCTTGGAGGACACCACTGCACACTTCCCTTCAGTCAGAAAAACAACCGTTCATCACCACTCTCTGCTTTCTGTCTCCCAGACAGTTCTGTATCCATGCTGTCACTGTCCCTTGAATACCGTGGGTTTCTATTTTGCTTACAAGTGTCTTATATGGCACTTTATTAAAGGCCTTTTGAAAATCCATATAAACTACATCAACTGCACTACCTTCATCCATCCTTTACGTTATTTCATCAAAAAACTCCAGCAGGTTTCTTAGACATGATTTGGCTTTAACAAATCCCTGTTGCCTGTCCTTAATTAACCCATATTTTTCCAAGAGAAAATGTAGTTTGTCCCGGATTCTTGTCTCTAGAAGTTTCCCCACTACTGATGTTAGGCTGACTGGCCTGCAGTTCCCGGGTTTATCCTTCTGCCCCCTTTTTGTACAGGGGAGTAACATTTGCAATTCTCCAGTTCTCTGGCACTACCCTAGTGTCCAAGGAGGATTGAAAGATTGTGGCCCGAGCCTCCGTTATTTCCACCCTTACTTCTCTCAGTCACATAGGATGCATCCCGTCCAGACCGGGTGACTTATCTACCCTGAGCACTGACAACTTTTTTAGTACCTCCTCTCAGTTTATTCTTATCCAATTTCTCTACCCTCTCCTCCGATACTGTGGAATTGGCTGCATCCTCTTCTTTTATTCCCACTCTTAAAGGGACAGGTTCTTTATTGATGTGGTGACCCCAGATATGAAAATACAGGGAGGAAATTGTGAAAACTATAAGCTTTCAGTTTCCTATCTAATCTGCCTATGTTCATTTTTGACCTAATTTATATTTTGGTGACCCATATTT